ATTTAATTTGACCAGAGAGAAAGAGGGAGAGAGAAAAAAAGTGAGAAAGCAAGCCTCCAGGTCCAGGAACTGTGGTTGGCCATGTAGGAGTCCAGGACCTTAACCACCATAGTACTTATTGGCCCCAGCTTTCTATTTCTTGAGTTCCAGTTATACAAATGTGATCACTTTGTAAAATTTCACTTACAATTTGTACATTTTTCTGTACATTTTAAACTTTCCACTGAAAGTTCAAAAACAAAAAGTATAAGATTGAGCCTCTAGCCTAATGGTTAAGAGAGCTGGATCCGATATGGCCAACCATGGTTCAAAGTCTGGCCTCAGCAGCTTGAAAAACACACCAGGCAAGTGGGTATACCAGCCTAAAGTTTCCAAAGGACAGAGAGGTGAAGGAGAAAGGATTGTAGCATGACCCTGCTGGGGTGGTAGGTGCTTTATCTTTCTCCCTCTCTCTCACTTGCTGTCTCTTTCTCTCTCTCACAAGTTCACATGCCTTCTGGCTATTTAAATAATAATGATGATAAATAAAAGTATGGGTATAAAGAGTCATAAAGCAATGAGATGCAATTGGAAAAGAGTCTACAGATCTGAAAGGAGAAGAAATTGATTTATGATTTATGTCTAGCATCTCCAAATCTTGGAATCACTAAAAGGGGAGAGATTAAATTAACCTAGAAATAGGTGGTCTTCACTTATTAGGAGATGACAGTTCTTGGTATTGGGGAGACCAATGTTGAGCCTTCTTAGGGCAAAGCAAGACAAACCTAATGGAGCTACCTGAACCTTCCCTAAAAGGTAGTCCTTTGCCGTACTGTCAGGAACTGTAGGAGCTGCAGGGTGTCCCTTCAGCCTTGGTGATCTGACAGGATTAGAGATTGCCATTGGGAATTGTTTCAGTGAAGATAGGAAAGTCTTGCTAGGGGGGGAAAGATACAAATATTAGATTCTTCAGACCTTGGACTTAAAAGTCCTGCAATCAATAGTCACTGCCTCTCAAGAATGAGCTTCAGGGGCCAGGTTAAGGTAGCTGGATCTTGAATGGCTGACTGCACTATTCCAGTCCAAATCAATGGATCGATAAACACTGGGTGGCATGTGTCCCCTAAATCCTGAGAGAAGAATGGGGGAGAGGGAATTGCAATATCACCATACACCCTAGGGAGTGCTTCCTCACTTTCCTTCTTTCTCTGTCTCTGTCTCTCTCTGACAAGTGCACATGCCCTATATTCAAAATAAAACAAAACAAATGAATGTAGAACTGATAGACTGAAGGAAGCAGAGTGCTATGCATATTCCAAGAAGGGTAATTTCCCAATTCCTCACATCTTCAGCACCACTATGTGTCCTTCAGGGCCAGTTCAAGCTCACTTCCCCTGTTTCCAGGACTCCATTGCCTTCAAACTGTATGCTCTGCAATGCTCTTTCCAGGGCACAGCAGGGAAGGATCTATTCAAACATGCCACTCCTCTCCTATAGCCTTTAGTGGATCCTCCATCTTAGATTTCAGTCCACACTTTGTCTCAAAGCACAAAGTCCCTTGAACTGGAACTTGGTCACCTTGTCCGGTATCATCTCTGACCTCCTTGCCCTGTCACAATCCAGCCCCATCAGCAATAGCAGACATTCTAGACAGCATGGAGAGTGCTGAATGTAGAGACTGTTTTCCATTTGTAGGTAAATTTAGTTCCTCCTATTTCTGGAATTGTAAGATTTGGAGATTCTAGACCACAAAATCAATCATTTTACTCACTTTCAGAATTCCTTCTTTCCAACTTTACACCATCACTTTAGTCCCTTGTCTGTGCCTTTAGCCCAAATATCCTCCCTGCTTTGTCTATCTGTTGAATACTTACCTTTTAAAACCATACACAGGCAGCACTTCTGAGAAGCCTTACCTGAGAACCCCCACTCCATCCTCTTGTTCTGAGTTTGTACTTTCTTTCACTGTTCATGTTACATAGTAGTGTATCAATTCACATGTGGATGTCTTCTCTGTTAAAAGTCCAAATGCTCCATGACTGGGATTGTGTCCTGTCTATTCTTGCAATGACTGTTGTATGTCATATGCTGTCAATAAGGTTTTATAAACAGATCCTTTAAAATGTAATGTACATGTGTTATCATTGAACTGAGACTTTCAAGGATACTTTCATATCATAATCATTTGTGTGTATACTTGATTTAACCAATGATAATGTTAAGCATACCTATAGGTTTACATATGCATTATGAAGGATGTTATTTCATTCGATCCTTGCAACAAGGTATCTAATAGACTTGTCTCTCTCAAGGCCCTGTCCACCCATAGTTCAGAAAAGAAGTCTCCAAAGCAGGAGGAAATATTAGAGCTCCTCTTGATATTTATTTTTATCTCAGCCTCTGAAAATCTATATTTTATATAATTTATAATATACTTAATAGCATGCTAATGCATCTATGCAATTTATAAATAAGTAGACATACTTTGGGCAAGTGTTTAAAATGGTCTCACTGATAGAATGCATGATAAAAAAAGTTTGGAGACACAGTGTTAGGGAACACATAGGGCTCCATATTCCAGCACTTGAGTAATGAGGCCAATGTGGTCTACCATCCCTATTCAGGAAGCTTATTTCATAGTTTGGTGGCATTTCTCTGGTTGGTTATATGCCTGAGCTTAATTCTCATATCACTCCTATTTCTTCTATCCCTGTTTCTCAATCACCAGTGGTCGTAGAAATAGTTAGCATGGCTGAGTACTTGCTTTGTACGAGGTGCTGTGCTAAACATTTCCATGTATTACCTTATGCAACATTCAAGTAATCATGATGTAGGTACTATTATCTCTGTGCTGTTGTTATTGTTGTTTTGAGAAATTTTTGCTATAGAGTGTGTGTGCTCAGTGGACAGAGCGAAACAGAGAGACAGAAAATGAAAATCACCCCCCCGAGGGAATGCTCACATCACAATCCTTTCTCCTCCATTTTCCTCTCAGGATTTTGGGCACGCACACACATGCACTCAGCGTGAGTTTTAAGCCAATGGGTCCAGGACTTGAACTGTAGTCGACCTTGTGGGGGACTCCAACACCTTAACTACCACACCACTTGCTGGCCCCTTATCTCTGTTTTAATAAGGCAGTTAAAATGAAAAAATTTGCCTAAAGTCCCAGAGTTAATAGGGAAGCAAGGATTCAGTCTTATCCCTTGGATGAGCTCCTTGGATAATAAGTAGCATGAAATTAAAGTGAGTAGTTCTAAAGTCAAGCATAGATTTTGTCATTTATTACAAGGACTATACAACAGTATCGTCTCTACTTAGAGACAACTGGCGTGTTGTTTTAACGTCTAGTCTAAACTTTGTAATGGCCCTCCCAGTCAGACACAAATGAAACATAATGCATATGGAGTAATGCATTTCTGAAGGATGTCTCATGCCTTACCATACCAATGAGAAATCACTTTTGAGGCCAATGTGGTCTACCATCCCTATTCAGGAAGCTTATTTCATAGTTTGGTGGCATTTCTCTGGTTGGTTATATGCCTGAGCTTAATTCTCATATCACTCCTATTTCTTCTATCCCTGTTTCTCAATCACCAGTGGTCGTAGAAATAGTTAGCATGGCTGAGTACTTGCTTTGTACGAGGTGCTGTGCTAAACATTTCCATGTATTACCTTATGCAACATTCAAGTAATCATGATGTAGGTACTATTATCTCTGTGCTGTTGTTATTGTTGTTTTGAGAAATTTTTGCTGTAGAGTGTGTGTGCTCAGTGGACAGAGCGAAACAGAGAGACAGAAAATGAAAATCACCCCCCCGAGGGAATGCTCGCATCACAATCCTTTCTCCTCCATTTTCCTCTCAGGATTTTGGGCACGCACACACATGCACTCAGCGTGAGTTTTAAGCCAATGGGTCCAGGACTTGAACTGTAGTCGACCTTGTGGGGGACTCCAACACCTTAACTACCACACCACTTGCTGGCCCCTTATCTCTGTTTTAATAAGGCAGTTAAAATGAAAAACTTTGCCTAAAGTCCCAGAGTTAATAGGGAAGCAAGGATTCAGTCTTATCCCTTGGATGAGCTCCTTGGATAATAAGTAGCATGAAATTAAAGTGAGTAGTTCTAAAGTCAAGCATAGATTTTGTCATTTATTACAAGGACTATACAACAGTATCGTCTCTACTTAGAGACAACTGGCGTGTTGTTTTAACGTCTAGTCTAAACTTTGTAATGGCCCTCCCAGTCAGACACAAATGAAACATAATGCATATGGAGTAATGCATTTCTGAAGGATGTCTCATGCCTTACCATACCAATGAGAAATCACTTTTATAAACACCATAATTTCTTACCATTACTGCCGCTATCACCACCCCCATCATGGCAAGATGCCCAAAGCCATTAGACAGTAAGTACATCAGTGTTTAAAGTAAGTTTCAAATGAAAAGTGCAACAAACCAGTGTGTCTTGTCTTCTGATGGCACGACCTCACCCTACTGTTTACTCGAAGTTGGCAAATGAAAGAAGGCAGGAAAGGGTGACAGATTTTCCAAGGCAAGCAGTGAAATGGCACTGAGTGGCTAATAATGGCTCTAACTACCTGCTTCTGTACAGCCTGGGAACAGGTCCTGAGGCAGTGCTTTCCTTAACCTAGTACACTTTCTATGTGCCCTAAGATTTCCCTATGGATCCTGGTCCCTTGGAAGCACACCATATAAGGCTCGCTCTCCCACCTTAAGATCTCTTTCTTGCATGTCTTTCCCATCTCCCAATGGCCTGTTGGCAAATGCACACCACTCCATCCCACCCAGAAAATTCTTAGAGCAGGGCCAGATGAGGTCAGTGAATCTGGAGTTCCTGTGATGATGAAATGATGATTTTACCAAAGTCACCCTGTGATGGGATTTCAAATGAAAACTCAAGTTGGTATCTGTTTACTGACATCTATGGAGGACCCCACTGGTTCAGAACCTGACTCAGATGCTTTAGGAATGTCAGGTTCACAATATACTTACACTTACAGATCCTAGCTGATACAAAGTCTTTTCTCTTTCTTCTCTTTTCTCTTTAGGGAAGGTGGCCTGGTTTGGGATGGAGAAACTGTTCTCTTAGCATTTGAGTTTGGGATGACTTATTTCTGGTACACAGGGTGAGACAGGCCAGGATATTCCATTTTGCTGCTAGGAATAGAATTAGAAGCATCCAGTCTGCTGCTGAGATTCTTAGCATTTGAGTTTGGGTTGACTTATTTCTGGTACACAGGGTGAGACAGACCAGGATATTCCATTTTGCTGCTAGGAGTAGAATTAGAAGCATCCAGTCTGCTGCTGAGAGGAGGCCCAGGTTGATCCGTGGCAACAAAACCTAAAATGAACATAGATCATCAGAGGAAAAAGCTCTCACCAAAGATGATAAAGTTGATGATCATGATACCAAAAAATACACAGATGGGGTCACCTGGATAAGAAGAGGAGAGACCGAGGGGCCTAACAGGGACCTGGAACATTCTAATACCAAGAGAAAGAATGAAGAAGAAGCCAGTAGAGCACTCTGAGAAGGAATGACCAGAGAAGTGGAATAAAACCAAGAAAGCATAATTTCATAGCGGCCAGGAGGAGGAAATGTTTCCAGATGATGGAAATAATGATCCATGATAAATACCAGTAAGGGGTCAAGTAATACAAAAAAAAAAAGAGAGAGAGAAGGATTTGGATTTAGCCATATGACAACAACATGCTCAGTGGATGAATGGGAAAAAGCCTGATGCAGTGGATGGAAGAATAAATGTGAGATGAAAATGTGAAGAAAGACTATGATGACCCTTTCAAGGTTTTCTATGGAAAGGAAGAAAGAGTAGATGGTGAGCTAGAGGATATAAAATCAAGGAATTTCTCGTTTCTCTATGGTATTGTTTTTATTTGGAGATTCTTGTGCTTGTTTTTTGAATTTCTGGGATTGATCTAATGGAGAAGGAGAAAATGGGGATACAAGAGAGGAATAGAATGATTTAGGGGAACAAAATAGTCCTTCAGAAGACCAGAGTGGGTAGAATCTTGAATGTGAGGACTCAGAATTTTTTTAGTGGGAAAATGACATTATGGGAAAAAAAGAAAAGAAAGTTAAATTATTCAGGGCTCTTCTAAGCATCTCTGGTCCTAGGAATTCCCTTCTAGTCACTGTATTCCCAAAAGAGCAAAAACAAAAACCCTAAATGTTTCTAAACACTCAGCATGGGGCACAATACATCACTGTTAAAAATGAGCTAATAATTGTCTTTTCTTTTAATTAATTTCTTTTAATTTAGTGGAGTTTAATTAAGCAAAATTATTTGAATCAAGGACCCCAGAATGACTTCCCAGGGACTCTGGGTAGTAGCTAACAATTTCCTACCTGCTCCCTCCTCCCTGCCTGCCCCAACACTGGGGACCCACATCTCAGGGACAAGTAAAAGAATTCTTAAACTGATGAAGGGGCAAGGAGTTGGGTAGGGTGATACAACAAAGTTTTAAGGACCTTGGGATCAGAAACCAGCAGTTGGCAACTCCCAGTGGTTAAGCCCCTCTGAACACCTCCTGAGAACCTTGGTAACATTCCAGTTAGAGCAGTTGTCCCTGGTGTTTCAAGATTCAGTGGTCAATATTCTGCTCTGTCTAGGATGGAGTACACCAGAACAACCAGATACCTGGGCAAAATACAAAATTTAAAAAAAAAATTAGAGTTTGCGCTGTGGCAAGCAGTACTGTGTTGCTCAAGAGAAATGGCAACCATGGTTCAAAACCCCAACCTGGCTGGACTGAAATATACCAGGCACTTGTATGAGTGAACAAGGTCTGATGATCTGGGAGACTGGAGGAAGGGAATGGCAGCAATGACGAGAACCTGTGGAGAGGGCTCTGTCAAATTAAATTATTTCAGCCTAAAACAGCCCCTGCTCCCACACTTTGATTCCCATAGATAAGAAGAAATTGTACATGTTAGGCTGTTTTTCTGAGCTAGTTACTAAGTTACAGCCAATCACAGCAGGTAGACTTCAGTCAATCGCAGGCATCCCACCTTTTAAACCATGCTAATACAAACTTCAAGATGCAACCAATAATTTCTCTACTTCAGTCCCTCACTTACGCTTTTTGTATGACATTTTTCTGTTCTGCCAACTTAAATGCCAAGTTGACCATGAGGCTGACTGGAGTTGTCCAAAAGTCCGAGGATAATTGCCCAATTTAAATCATGTTAAGATTTGCTCCATTAAAACTCTATTAAACTGGCTGGGTTATTTTTCTTTTAGCCATTTCTTTTTTTCTCTCCCTCATTCTCACAGGCATGCACACATACTTTACCATGAATAAAGCGGGAAGTGGGGGCAGTCTCTTTGAAGCCAGCAAAGAGCAACTAGAACTTAAAGAAAAAGATCCTAAAGAGGAGATTTCTCCTTTGGGGCATTTTCCATTTTCCCCTTGGGACATTTGCTGACTTTTAAACTGTCAGAGCAAGAGGCTAAAAAGCTGAGCAGAAGGTGTTTGAAGAACTCAGATAAGTTTTAGCAGTCTCACCATGCTAGGGAAACAAAAATTAGAATCCAGAAGCAGCCAAGGCAGACATGGTGCTAAGAAACACCCCAAGCTCTCACTGAGAACCCCTGGGGGCCCTTTCCTTGGCATAAAGATGAGCCTGAGGCAGAGCAAATCTAATAAGGGTTGCAGACTAGCCCTGACTAGCTGAGTCCTATTTGGATTGAATTAATCTAACCACCTGTCAGAAAAGAAAACAAATCTGCCACTTTTTATAAACCAAATATATCTTATATACCAAGAAACAGGACCAAAAGGAAAAATAGACACTAGAAATCAATCCTGAGGTATTCCAGATATTGAAATGAACAGACATAAATTTTCAAAACTTTCAAATTACTGTGAGTCATACCTTCAAGAAAGTAGATGACACATTGGAGAAGTTCACCACAGAATTAGAATTTATAAAATAAATCCATAGTGTATTGTAGAATTGAAAGATCCATCAGTGATCTGTGACTATATTCCCTCAGTATCTATGCTTGGCAGGGGTATCCACTTCAGGTTGGTGGAGAGTAAGCATAAGGGAGATAAAAATTGGTCCAAATTTCAAGGTGTTGTAACCACTGACTTTTCCTCCAAATATTGAATTGGAGCCTCCAAAATTGACTTGAACAATGGTTCTGAGATTAATATCTGAAAGAAAAAAAAAACAAACAGGATTTTAAGGACATGAATCAGAAACCAGCAAAGGAGACAAGGGACGCAAAAGTTTGATTCCACCTATCTAGCTTGACATCAGCTTCCCTTTCGTAAGTTCTTCTAGGTCCTTTGTATTTGACATCCAAATTCACTTTACAACTTTCTCAGTGGACTACCTGGAGTCTTGTTGGAGCTAGATGGCCCACTGGTTTATGAGACAGACCACCTGAACAGCTTCTTCTAAAGAACCTCTATGGCACAGTTGTTATCACGCCAAAATGCAGAACTGGAAACCACATGCCAACCACAGTTTGAGTCCTCAGCCTAATCAGACTGAAAACATAGGGAGGCATATGTGTGTGTGCTCAGGAACCCAGTATACTAGAGGATGGAGAAAGGGTTCATGGTGTGACAGAGCCCTGTGGATGTTCCTCTCTTTCTCTCTCTCTGTTTCTCATGTACATGCACAATCTCTGTCGTGAATAGAAAAAGAAAAAAATAAGCACCACAAATTCACTTTACAACTTTCTCAGTGGACTACCTGGAGTCTTGTTGGAGCTAGATGGCCCACTGGTTTATGAGACAGACCACCTGAACAGCTTCTTCTAAAGAACCTCTATGGCACAGTTGTTATCACGCCAAAATGCAGAACTGGAAACCACATGCCAACCACAGTTTGAGTCCTCAGCCTAATCAGACTGAAAACATAGGGAGGCATATGTGTGTGTGCTCAGGAACCCAGTATACTAGAGGATGGAGAAAGGGTTCATGGTGTGACAGAGCCCTGTGGATGTTCCTCTCTTTCTCTCTCTCTGTTTCTCATGTACATGCACAATCTCTGTCGTGAATAGAAAAAGAAAAAAATAAGCACCACCTACTGACACCTTTTCAGGGTTTTTGTCCTCAAGTATCTTTACCTCTTGTACTGTTCACATGACTGTTTGTAGTCTGGTCCTAGCTATCTCTCCAGCCTGATCTCCCATCCGTACACTCCACATTCCAGGCACACTAAATGTCCTCCAGTTCCTCACAGTACCAAGTTCCTGTCTCCAGAGCCTGTGTATGAAAGCTTTCCATCCAGATGCTCTTACCTATCCACCCACACTTGGTTCACATAGTCCTTATTTAACATTTGGTCCTAGCTTCAGTGTTGTAGTTCAGGCAGAGTTTTTAGTAAATGCCCTGCCCCCCTACATTTTGGTCCATTTTTCTGTTACTGTAAATACATCGGGAAATTTGTAAATAACCAATGTTGATTCAGATGACAATTCTGGAGGTCTAAGGTTGAGGGGTCACATACGGTGGGGGTCTTCTCTCTGGTGAGAACTCTCTGTAGAGTCCAAAGGAGGCACAGGGCGTAATAGTAAGAAGTCAAGAATGTGTGTATCCTGGTCTCTCTTCTTGTTAAGCCACCAGTATTTGATCACAGGAACCTACCCAGATGATCTTATTCAGTCCGAATACCCCCCCCCCTCCACCAAGGGCTCCACCCTAATACCATAGTTGTATTATGTTTCTACCCTATTAATACTGTCACAATAGCAACCAAATTTTAACATTTAAATTTGGAGAGACTGGACTGGCCCTATGGCCTAGTAATTAAGAAAGCTGGATCCCATATAGTAAACTATGATTTGAATCCGTCCCTAAAAGTTTGAAAAACACAATGGACATATCTGCAAGGTCCTGATGGGAGGAGAAAGGGAGGAAAAGGAACTGCAGAATGACTATGCCTCTCATGTGAGTGCTCTTTCTCACTCTCTCTCTCTCATTATTTCTCTCTGTATTCTCTCTGAGCACATGTGCCTTCTGGCAATTAGAAGAAAAATTGGGGCAGGACACATTTATACCATAGCACCCTTCCCCCATCTAGATTAAATGTCTCTCCTATGTTCACCCTATAGTTCCCCATCATGGATTGTATACCTGTGTGTGCTCTATGCACATTTGTACTGTTTATTGTAGGCATAGAGCCTGCAGAGTGCCTGGTGTATGCTAGGGACTTAACAAATATGAGTGAATGAATGGTGAAGCACATAACACAGAACCTATCACATAGCAGGTTTATCCTTTTTTTTTTTTTTTTTAAAAAATTGGCATAAAGATGAGCCTGAGGCAGAGCAAATCTAATAAGGGTTGCAGACTAGCCCTGACTAGCTGAGTCCTATTTGGATTGAATTAATCTAACCACCTGTCAGAAAAGAAAACAAATCTGCCACTTTTTATAAACCGAATATATCTTACATACCAAGAAACAGGACCAAAAGGAAAAACAGACACTAGAAATCAATCCTGAGGTATTCCAGATATTGAAATGAACAGACATAAATTTTCAAAACTTTCAAATTACTGTGAGTCATACCTTCAAGAAAGTAGATGACACATTGGAGAAGTTCACCACAGAATTAGAATTTATAAAATAAATCCATAGTGTATTGTAGAATTGAAAGATCCATCAGTGATCTGTGACTATATTCCCTCAGTATCTATGCTTGGCAGGGGTATCCACTTCAGGTTGGTGGAGAGTAAGCATAAGGGAGATAAAAATTGGTCCAAATTTCAAGGTGTTGTAACCACTGACTTTTCCTCCAAATATTGAATTGGAGCCTCCAAAATTGACTTGAACAATGGTTCTGAGATTAATATCTGAAAGAAAAAAAAAACAAACAGGATTTTAAGGACATGAATCAGAAACCAGCAAAGGAGACAAGGGACGCAAAAGTTTGATTCCACCTATCTAGCTTGACATCAGCTTCCCTTTCGTAAGTTCTTCTAGGTCCTTCGTATTTAACATCCAAATTCACTTTACAACTTTCTCAGTGGACTACCTGGAGTCTTGTTGGAGCTAGATGGCCCACTGGTTTATGAGACAGACCACCTGAACAGCTTCTTCTAAAGAACCTCTATGGCACAGTTGTTATCACGCCAAAATGCAGAACTGGAAACCACATGCCAACCACAGTTTGAGTCCTCAGCTTAATCAGACTGAAAACATAGGGAGGCATATGCGTGTGTGCTCAGGAATCCAGTATACTAGAGGATGGAGATAAGGTTCATGGTGTGACAGAGCCCTGTGGATGTTCCTCTCTTTCTCTCTCTCTGTTTCTCATGTACATGCACAAGCTCTATCGTGAATAGAAAAAGAAAAAAATAAGCACCACCTACTGACACCTTTTCAGGGTTTTTGTCCTCAAGTATCTTTACCTCTTGTACTGTTCACATGGCTGTTTGTAGTCTGGTCCTAGCTATCTCTCCAGCCTGATCTCCCATCCGTACACTCCACATTCCAGGCACACTAAATGTCCTCCAGTTCCTCACAGTACCAAGTTCCTGTCTCCAGAGCCTGTGTATGAAAGCTTTCCATCCAGATGCTCTTACCTATCCACCCACACTTGGTTCACATAGTCCTTATTTAACATTTGGTCCTAGCTTCAGTGTTGTAGTTCAGGCAGAGTTTTTAGTAAATGCCCTGCCCCCCTACATTTTGGTCCATTTTTCTGTTACTGTAAATACATCGGGAAATTTGTAAATAACCAATGTTGATTCAGATGACAATTCTGGAGGTCTAAGGTTGAGGGGTCACATACGGTGGGGGTCTTCTCTCTGGTGAGAACTCTCTGTAGAGTCCAAAGGAGGCACAGGGCGTAATAGTAAGAAGTCAAGAATGTGTGTATCCTGGTCTCTCTTCTTGTTAAGCCACCAGTATTTGATCACAGGAACCTACCCAGATGACCTTATTCAGTCCGAATACCCGCCCCTCCACCAAGGGCTCCACCCTAATACCATAGTTGTATTATGTTTCTACCCTATTAATACTGTCACAATAGCAACCAAATTTTAACATTTAAATTTGGAGAGACTGGACTGGCCCTATGGCCTAGTAATTAAGAAAGCTGGATCCCATATAGTAAACTATGATTTGAATCCGTCCCTAAAAGTTTGAAAAACACAATGGACATATCTGCAAGATCCTGATGGGAGGAGAAAGGGAGGAAAAGGAACTGCAGAATGACTATGCCTCTCATGTGAGTGCTCTTTCTCACTCTCTCTCTCTCATTATTTCTCTCTGTATTCTCTCTGAGCACATGTGCCTTCTGGCAATTAGAAGAAAAATTGGGGCAGGACACATTTATACCATAGCACCCTTCCCCCATCTAGATTAAATGTCTCTCCTATGTTCACCCTATAGTTCCCCATCATGGATTGTATACCTGTGTGTGCTCTATGCACATTTGTACTGTTTATTGTAGGCATAGAGCCTGCAGAGTGCCTGGTGTATGCTAGGGACTTAACAAATATGAGTGAATGAATGGTGAAGCACATAACACAGAACCTATCACATAGCAGGTTTATCCTTTTTTTTTTTTTTTTCAGCAGAGAATTAAGAGTCCAGAGGACTTTATGGCACCCAGTTCTGTTATTGACTTTAGAATTAGTGATTAGATTGGTGATAGCAAAGTTGCTCCCCTTTCTTGGTCTCTGTCTGTAAAGGAAGAGCATCAGGCTAGTTCTCTAAAAGCCCTCCCAGCTTCCTTCCTGTCTTTCTGGACTAGGAAGGACTAGTTTCAGCTAGACCCCTTGCAACAAAGCTCAGAAAGACCCAGAGCTTTGTGCCACGATGCTGTGTTGGCAGCACTGACAGATGTAGTTGCCAGCTACCAGCTTCTCACTGTGAGTCCACTGTATGCCCAGCGAAGAAACTTGTTGGTAACTTGCAGGAACATTCTGAGGAAATGCAAACTTCACTCTTCAGCAACAGGGAGCCTGTGTAAACCAACTTGGGATGTTGCCTGGGGACATATGCCTGAAGCCAAGTCCCAGATAAATAAGGCTTCAGTTCTCTGAGTCTATGAAGCCCAGTTCTTTCCAAGGACAGGTCTTAAATGCATAGCCACTGGCTCTGAGCACAATTTCCTAACCTCTTCTGGGATTCCATTTCATCTTTGTTTGGGCCCATAGTGGCCAAAACAAGTTTAGAATGAGCTAGCTGCCTGATTTCAAGCCTGAAGCTTTAAATAGACTCCATAGTGCAGTAGGTAGAAGTGCATCACTCTGGGAGGGACACATAAGGCCCAAGTTCTACACCTGCCTCTGCCAATAACTAGCTTATAAGTCAACCCCAAGGACGGCCTGACCCCTAAGCCTCAGTTTCCACACCTATAAAATGGGAGCGTTCTCAATTAGCTTTCTAGCCATTCTTAGATTTTCTGATAACTTTTAAGATGACCTCTGGGCACCAAAAGGAATAATGAAATGTTAATGCTTCCAATCCCATCTTGGGTTACAGGTGTTTGACAGTGCCCTTTTCTCATTGTCCAAGTTGAGCCTTCACACAGATCTGTAGGATCAATTAAGGGGCACACAGAATAAACCACTTAATTTCTGTCTCTCAAGAAGATCTAAAACATTTGGCTCACAAGCTTTCAAGACAGATTCAGAGATCATAAAACTACATTTATTAAGTACAATGTACTAAAAAATCCTTGACTGAGGTGGATTTGTGAAATTAAAAGGCAACAGCTTAAAGATCAGGAAGCCAGACACTGGTCACTGCTCAGTCCTAGCCTCAATCAGGTAGCCTTAGGCATGCAACTCCTCAATCTGACCTCAGTTTTGCTATCTATACAGTGATATCTCTCAGTTCTCCTTGACTCTAGTATTCCAGAATTATCTTAAATAGAAAAAGTCTTCCCAAAGTCATGTGAGATTTTCCCTGGTAGATTTGGATGGGATTTTTAGGTTTTTGTTTTCTTTTGTTGTTTGTTTTTACTGCTACTGCCAATGGCAGTCAATACAACAAGCAAATAGTAAGCCAGGAAACCATTCTCATCTGTCAGATCAGTTGCTCACATTTTATTAAGGGCTCAAGTGCTCACTTTTATTAGAAGGTCAGGAAGCCAATGCTGAGAAAGGCTCACAGTGTGGTCTGTGCCTCTGTTGCTTTGCCCGAGGTCAAGTTCCACATTCTTCTCGTGTTTCCTGACCCATGGCCAGCTCTGTCTTTCAAATCAGAGATGGACAGTCTGATCTAGATAGCATACTCCAAAATACTTGGCAGGAAAGTCATCATTGATTGCTTTACTTCCTAAAACCTATTATTGGAAAATAAGACCAAGAGGCATGTGGTTTTCTGTGAGATAGAGCGTGCTGGATTCTGATGTTATAGGCCTTCCATATAGATTCTCCACCCTCCTGTGATTGCCACAGTGGAAGACACAGTAGAAGGGAGAAAATAGCACTGAATTATTTCACAGCAAAGGCAACACATGAGCTCATACTCCTTCTCCAACAATTTAGCCAAAAGTGAATACATTACCAAACGACTAAAAATCGGAGAAAAGCCTCAAGGGCAAGAGAATCAAGTAATACATCTCCAGCAAGGAAACATCATAACTTGTCTCCAAGTAGGGAAAAATTAGAGAATATTACTGAAATGCCAGGAAAAGAATTTAGAATATTTATGGTAACAAAACTCTGTGAGATGCTAAAGAAAAGAGACGTTGAGCTCCTAGAGATGAGGAAGTCCTTTCATAATATGAAAAAAGAATTGGACACCATAAAAAGAATCAAACAGAACTGTTAGATATGGAGGCTGTAATATAAGAAATCCAAGCCTCCCTGAAAGTATTAAAAGCAGACTATCTTTCAGGAATTGTTTTTCAGATTTTCAATAATTTTTTCTTTAAATTAAAGAAAGAAAGTATTAAAAGCAAGTTAGATCATGCAGAAGATCAACTCTCAGAAGCAGAATACAAACCTCTGACCTAGAAAAAATTATCAAAAATACTGAGAAAATAACCAAAAAAAATGAGATTAATATATGAGAAATACTAGATATCATGAAACACACAAACATCCAAATAATTGGTATCACAGAAGATGAAGAAACTAAGAAGGGCATTAATAATCTATTCCATGAAATCCTAGAAGAAAACTTTTCAAGTCTAGAGAAGCACTCTAACATTCTGATCCAAGAAATACAAAGAACCCAAAATAGAATCAATCCAAGAAGATCCTCTCCATGACACATCATAGTCAGATTGGCCAAAACACAGACAAAGACAAGATACTAAGATTGGCAAGAGAGAAACATCAAGTCACTTACAAAGCCCATCCCATCGGGCTAACAACTGACCTCTCATCCAATACAATGTAAGGAAGGAAAGAATGGGGAAATATATTCAAAGTGTTAAATGAAAAACAATTTCAACCAAGAATACTATACCTGGTAAGATTTTCCTTCATATGGGAAAAAAAGATAAATATGTTCTTGGATAAACAAAGCCTAAAAGAATTTATCAACTACACCAGCTCTTCAAGAAATTCTAAAAGGAGTACTATACCAAGAAAACTAAATACAGACAGCAATAAGAGAACAAAAAACAACCATAAAGGTCCTCCACAAGTGAGACTGAGTTATTCCATCTGCCCCATGCACCCTAAAGAGCAGGGTTCAGTGTCAAGTTTACTCACAAGTAAGTTTTAAAAAGAGGAGAGACTTATTGAAGAAAAAATAGGGAAGAAAGAAAGAAGTAGAAGAGAAATAAAGGAATAACTAGAGGGACAGCGCAAGAGAGTATGTGCCCTGGAATACTTAGGACACCTACAATGAGTCTCTGAGTAAAGAGAATAAAGGGTTTGATGTCCAAAAAGTTTGAACAAGGCTGAATACTGTATCTCTCCTCTTGGAAGTTTTTAGTCTACAATAGCATATAAAACTCTTTGTAAAGTTCTGCAATTAAAACAAAAAAATAATACCATTTAAGTTTAAGCTAATCCTTATCAAAATTTTTGATCACAGAACCCAGTTTTCTTGCAATGCTCATTAAAATTCCTAGAACATATAGTTAAATTGACCTAAAGGAATCCAGTATGCTGGGGTTAAGGGGCATAAAAAAGGTACATATTTATATTTTTAAGGAGATTACAAAACAATAGAATAAGACTTGCCTAGATGCTGAATTTTATAAAATTTAAGAACAGCTGAAGGTAATAGGAGAGGATCCAGATAGGTGATACAGACAGAGCATATTGGGCTTTCATTGTTTTTTGTTTGTTTGTTTGTTTGTTTGTTTTCCACAGGTTTCTGGAGCACCTACCATGTTTAGACACCAGGCTAGGCCATGGAATACTCTAGTGAGCAAGGCAGACCAATCTCTGCACTTCCATAGTTCAACTTCTCCTGAAGACAAAAAGAGACAATACATAAATAAATAAATAAATGTGTACATAAGAAGACATAGAAAAATAAATTGTGAAGAGTACACTGAAGAGAATGATTATAGTTCTCTGATAAAATAAGACATCTGCTTGCTCTGGCTTTTCCAAAGAAGTGACATTTAAGGTTCATCTTGAAAGATGAGAAGTCAGGCATGATGCAAATGAGGAAAGATGTATCAAAATACACTTCCTGGAGTAAGTTGGGGCTATGGACTGGTCTCAGAGCATGACTACGTTTATGGAGGTAGAAAAGAGGATTTCTTAATGATTAATTAAAGGTATTTATTAAGTAATCATTTCTTAACTAAACAGCATTGAATTAATCCTCTAACATGAGATATTGAGCTAAGAATGCAGCAGTGAGAAAGTTGAAAAGGATATGGCTTTTCTGGGGCATTTTAGTAGGAAGACACAGCTACAGGTTGAGAACTCCATGTGAAATTCAATTCAACACTGTCTGGAATCAAAGAATGAGATAACTTCAGATAGAATGAATGCTATGAAGAAAATAAAGCAAGGCAATATGATAGAAAGTGAGTTGGAGAGCACATGGAAGAGGCACTGTTATAAAATTGATCTGAGAAGGCTTCTCTGAGCATTTGTTAGTTGAACTAAGTTTTTATGGCAAAGAGGAGAGGAATATATGAAAAGCTATCTGGAGACAACACATCCCAAAGGGTCATCAAGAACTCTGAAGTGGAGAGTGAGCCTATGTTCTAATTACCCAAGGAAGGTTTCTGAGTGAAGACAGCAACATGAAAAATGACAGGAAGAAATGAGAGCCCAAGTTGTTTTAAGGTATCTTGTGGCTAAAATAGAACATCTCAAGTACAGAAGCAGAGAGTAGAAGTTTGGACAAGTAGCTTTGTCCATGTTGTAGAGGAACATGAATGTCAGTGTAAAGAGTTAAGACAGGTTCTCAACCTGTTTCCCAGTGCCACATAGAAGACATTGATTCAAAATATAACACATTCCTATTGACAGACCCACACTTTTATTATTACCCACTAAAGTGCTATAGGGGATAAGAAGATATAATACTTTGGTACTATCTATTAATAATCCTTTATTAATGGCTAACATGGCAAAAATGGTTTCTTATTTCCCAGTATCCACTCTTCCATTCTTCCTCAGTAATATGGCTGCCAAATTTTAGGTGAGAATATTACTACATTTCCCAGGATTATTTGTAGCCAAGCTGAGCCATGTGACTAAGTTTTGGCCAATGGAATATAAAGTATTAGGTTGTTGGAAAAGTCATGATGTATTTTTCTGTTTTTCTATGCAAAAATGCATCATGACTTTTCCAACAACCCAATAGTAAAGTCAAGTTTTGGGATGTTCCTGAAGGGAGGAGTGTGTCCTTTTTCCTTTCCCCTTTCTCCTGCTATCTAGACAGATCTTGCTGGGTGGTAAGGACAAGGGCCATACCTGGAAATTATAGAAAACTAGAAGAAGTTTGAGTCCCAGATGACTTTAGAGTCCATGCCAGTCATAAACTATCTCCATGGAGAGTTTTACATTCCAAGAAATAAACTGCTACTTGTTTAATTCACTCTTCTTATGGGTCTTTGTTATATTCAGCTAAAGATGAATACTAGTACAGCCCTTACTACAAATCATAGCAGCAGATTAGATAAGCCTAGTGGAATATAAATGAATGAGAATATGCATATTATAAAGATATCCTTTAACCCATTCTCCATACTCATTAATTTTTAAGACAAATCTTTCAAACACCAGTACTTTAAAAAAGTTTTTTTTTTTCAATCACAGACTACCTCAACATAATTCTCAATAGATCATAATATCATCTGTGTCATGACACTAAGGTAGAAAACAATTGAAAATTGTAAAATGCAATTTGATGAGCCTCTGGAGCAGTGAACAATGGTCATTCTCTAGAGCAGATGAAACTGGGGTCTGATTAGAAATCATATGATTTCAATCAAAAGTGATATGGGTTGTGGATTACTGTTGTTTTTTATTTTTGTAAAGTTAAACATAATCTTCACCATATGACCCAGGAATTCCACTACTAGGTACTTGCCCAGGGGAAATGAAAACATTTGTCTAAACAAAGATTTATACATGAATGTTGAGAGAACTTTATTCAAGTTGCCAAAAACTGGAAAGAGCCCAGCTCTCTATCAACAGGGGAATGAATAAACAAATTGTGGTACATGCAATGGAATGCTGCTTGCAATTTAAAGGATCAAACAACTGGTGCATATGACATTGTGCACAAATCTCCACAACATGGTGAGTAAAGGCAGCCAGACCTCACAGAGTGCATTCTAGATGATCTCACTTATAGATTATTCTAGAACAGGGGTCTCCAAACTTCTGGCCATGGACTGGTACCAGTCCTTAGTATTACAACATAATAATAAATTATTATACAATAAATATAATGTTCTTCAATCGTCCCCAAACCATCATACCCACTTCCCACCTCACCTCCCTACCCCCATCCAAGGAAAAATTATCTTCTGTGATTGCCAAAAGATTGGAGACCACTGTTCTGGAAGAAGCCAAACAATTTATGATAACGGAAAGAAGATCAGGGGTCAGTCCATGGCCTGGTGGTTAAGGAAGCCAGATGCAACATGGCCAACCATGAGATTCAAGTCCCAGACCTAGCAGTTTGAGAAACACATTGGGCACATGTGCATGTGTGCTCAAAATCATGAAAGGAGAGTGAAATGGAAAAGAAGGGATTGTTATGCAATCATTCCCCATGGGAGATTTTTTCTCCCTGTCCCTTTCTCTCTGTCTCTCTGGTGATAATTGAACCCTCTACCAGGCTGCAGGTGGAGGTGGGCCCAAGGGGACATTCTGGGGGAATGATCTTGTTCTATATTTTAAGTAAAGTGATGCTATAACATTTATATATTATACCTTGGTGAAAACTCATCAAACTATACAGTGAAAGTAAGTGTGCTTCATTGCATGTAGTTTATTTTTCTATAAAATTGATTTTTAAAGTTTTTTAGATAAATTACTGAGCTAAATGGGGGGAAAAGTGCATGAGAGAAAGAAAGTAAATAATGATTAAATATGAATCCCAATTTAATGTCAAAGGGCAGATTTTCTGAATTATAGAAATACACACATACACACACACACACACACACACACACACACATATATATAAGAGATATTTTTTGCTATCGGGCACATGCACTTGCCGGAGAGACAGAAAGAGGGAAAGTGATATATCACCCCCCCCATGGGGGTGGCCATGCCACAATCCCTTCTCCTCCGTTCTCCTCACAGGATCATGAACATGCATGCATACAAGCCCGATTTGAGTTTTAAGCCACTGGATTCGGGACTCGGTCCATATTTGACTACATGGGAGTTCAGTGATATAACCATTGCACGATCTGCTGGTCCCTGTACATATATTTTTAAAGCAAGCTACTTTTCACTGAATATTCCGGGTAGCTGTCTCCAGAAAGGGAAGCAGTCAGGAATGATTTCCAAAAAGCAGCTCCAGAAGCTGCCAGTGGCTCACAGGGAACCAATGCGGCTTTGCATGGAAGGGTCAAATCTGACTGGAAGAGATACCCTAACACAGTGATTCTCGACTGATCTGTGAAGGACCAGGTGCTCATTGTTGCTGCCACTGTTTATTTACTTTGTAAAATAAGGGAAAAAAAGTCACACCCTTTAGAGGTCACAGAAATGTCAAACTGCTATGAAACTTCAACGTATTCTCAACATATATGTTGATGTCACCACAGACCATGGGTAAAGCATACAGATCAGTACTGACATGCAGAGCACAGTTTCAGCAGCACTGCCCTAGGGGTTCCCAGGACTCCTGGGAGTGCACTTTGGAAGAAACTGAAGTCCTATGTAAGCAGACAGAGGCAGAAACCAAAGACAACCCGGTCATAAATAGGAACGTGGATCTGTTTGTACACAGTGGATGATGAGGATGAAGGAAATGTGCTCACAGATTTCAGAACAGGTGCATGAGGTCAACAAAACACTATGTTGGAAAAATTCATTTGGCAGCACACAGAGGATGGTAAGGAATGGAGACATACCGGAATCCCCGAAGAATGATGATGAGGTTGTTACAATCAACCAGGTGGGAGGTAGATGACTGGGATTTGAACCACAGTAATAGCTGTAGATTTGCTAAAGAGGAAACAGAAGACAAAGGACCAGGAAAGGAAAGATCCACAATGACTGATGACTGAGTGGTAAGGGGCTGGCGGGAGACAGGGCCAGAGCTAGGCCTGACACAAGAGGAGGTAAGCATTCTGAGGAAATAGGAAATGGGCCCTTGGGTGTGCCAGCACTCCCTTGGCTTGGAAGCCTCCTGCCTGCCTTGGCTTGCTGCCAGTGATCCCTGACCCACTGTCTCCCTCGGTGCTGCCCACAGTGGGTGACAAAAGGAGACAGAGGGAATACCTTTACGCATGCCATTTCCGGTGCTCATTGTGCTGGCTACCTCCCACTCCTGAAACTCCTCTTACCTTCCAGGCCCAGCCCAGATGTCACCCCACCTTCTCTTTTATGCTGCCATGGCACTCGGTTGTGTTGCAGTACACACGTCACCTCTCAGGGCAGCTGCGTGTATGCCAGTCTGCCCGTCACACTGCAGGATCACCGTAGGGGTTGGATCCAACTGCTCTTTCACCAACCTTTAGCACAGTGCCTGACGCAAGTCACTGTGTTCAGGAAGAAACATAAACAAACGAGGAGAGAGCACAGCGAAGGAAGGACAAAGGCAGGGAGGTCGTGAGAAATGGGCCCACAGGTGTAAAGGGAATGGGAGCCAGAGGTCATACAAGGTTTGCTTTCCCCTGCCCCAGGGACCCACATATGTGAACCATTATTTGAAATTTTGAACTTCCTCAACATAGAGCACTTTTGGGCTCCTCTCTGAATGAAAAGAAAAACAACTAGCAACCATTTAGAGTAGAAATCATTTAGTCAGCATTGCCCAAACCATAAGAGAGCCAGCCCCATGATCTAGTGGTTAAGGGAGCTGAGTCTCACATGGCTATGGTTCAAATCCCAGCCCCAGAGGCTTGAATATCACTCTGAATGTATGTGTGTGCCTGCCTCAAAATTCAACAGGATGGGGAACCAGCAGTTAGCGTAATGGCTATGTCGCTGGACTCCCATGTAGTCAACCGCAGTTCGCGTCCCGGACTCGGTGGCTTCAAAAACTCATGCCGGGCGCGTGTGTGTGCGTGCCCAAGATCCCGAGAGGAGAATGGAGGAGAAGGGATTGCGGCGTGACCATCCCCTCTGGGGGGTGATTTCTCACTTTCTGTCTCTATGTCTCTCTCTGTCTGTCTGGCGAGCGCACGCGCCCTATAGCAAAAACCTCTCCCAAAAAAAAAAAAAAAATTCAACAGGATGGAGAAATGGAGATGGCTTTCAATGTGAGCAAGCCTCACCAAGGATTGCTTTCTGCCTCTCTTTCTCCCTCTGTCTCTGTCTCTCTCTTATTCTGGAAAGTACACATGCCTTCTGGCAATTTAAAAATTTTAAAAATAAAACATAAAGTCATAAGAACTGGACAGAGGCTAGAAGTCCAGTGCATTGGGGACCTTATTCGGTCTGTGGAAAAGAAGTGAATAAGAAGCTGGGGATTCTTCTAAGAATACTGGGGCCGAAGTTATTGATATGACTATAGAAAGAGGTGAAATTATCACAGACCTGGAGATGAAAGCTCAGTTTCGATATGGGGTTGCCAACTCCCAAGGGTGGAGAGAGGTCAGCCAGAACAGCCTGGAAGATATAGCCTGTTCTAGGGTTTGTGCCCTTACCGTAGAGGATGTTAAATGTTGTTAGTATCACATCTGCCTACAACCTGTTAGCAGCAGTTATCACAGTGATTTCCTATCCAGAGAAAAGACTTCTATAGTACAGAAAGGAAAGGGATTGAGACCCCAGAGAGAAGTTACTAGAACAATCAGGAAGTGGAATTTTCTATGGGAAGCAAGGATTCCTGAAAATAAGATTTTCAATATTAAAACTGGAAAAGTCTTGGACAAATTGGGATGATCGATCAGTCCCATTGGAAGGGCCCTTAGAGATCATTGCTCAACTCCCTCTTTCATAAAATATAGTCCCAGAGAGGCCAAGCGACAGGGCCAAATTCATGCGGAAGCCAGTAGCAAGGCTGCAAATGGAGCCCAGGTCTCCAGCTTGCCCTGAAGGGCCCTTTGCCTTGATGGAGTTTTCTTTCAGGATCCTTTGGACACTTCTTCCATGACTACAGCTACTTTTTCAGTATCACCATGAGCAGAGCATTTTCCAGCAGCTAAGTATTAAGTAGGAAAGTTGTCAGCATCTCCACACTCATGTTCCTGTTGTTGGGAGAGCGGTCAAAGCGAGGAGTCTTAGTGTGGACTGCGGTCCTTGCTTTCTGCCTGAGGTAGGCAGTGCCTCTGGGCTCTTAGACTTGCTCTGTTTGCCTTTGAATTCTGTTGAAGTAAAGAATTTCTCTCATGCCACTCCTGAACCAGTGAGTCCACTTCCTTCTCTGCCCCCTGGACCCCAAACAGAGCTCCAGAAAGAATAAAATTTTCTTCCTGTGCCACCGTTAGCACAACTGGGCAAGAGGGGAAGAGTTCAAATACTCGAAAGACTCAGAAACCAACCCTACAGAGCTCCTCCTTCCACCGACAGACGGCACCCCCGACTTCATCTCCTCTCATTCCTTAGAGGACTGAGTTATTAAGTCAGCAAGTGATTCCCTACCCAACACTCTTGAAACTGGTCTGAGAGTGTGAGGCCCTGGGGTGAGGTAGTCCATAGGCATGTGGAAATGCATGCTTCCCAGTGGAGGATAAGATCAGAGTGATGGACGGGTAGCTACAACTCCCTCTAGACTTTAAAAACAAGCACACAGAAAATGAGCAACTTCTCCTGCCTCTGTTTACAAATGCTCTCTCTTCTCATGCCTGAATCTGTTCAGGAATGTCACATTCCAGCCTTTCTGGGACAACTGCATGTCACAGTGGCAGCCGTTGTAAGGCTTCACATCCCAGAATGTGACATCTCTGAATAAGGCAGGCAGGAGTGCCGGCTGTTAGGAGGTAAATCCACCTTAGGCTGCTTCTTCATGGGATCCCAGGGCTCAAACCATTACAGGGTGTATTTTGAGAGTCTTTTAAAGTCACATGCAATTTACTGTCCAGTCTGGTGAATGACAAAAACAGAGAAGTAGAACAATCATGATTCTACTTCCATCACTTTCTGAGTCAGAGAGTCTTTGCATAGCCACACGCTCATTTGATTCTTAGGATGAATGTTCCTGTGGGGAAAGCAAGACTGATGGAGTTCAGAGAGAGGAAATGCCTGAAGTCATGTGCCTGAGGAAAGGCAGGCAGAAGCAGGGCCACTGGAGTTGTCCACGCCACGCTTTCTCCTCCACACTGTCTGCTCCGCCTCTCCTTCAGAAGTGAACCTGCTGGCGAACCCAAATGTGAACTGACACACAGGGGCTTTCTGAAAGGCTGAGGCTGAAGCACTGCCCAGGGCATCACTACACAGATTTGGGGGTTGATCAGGCCAGATTTGAGTTTTAGTCCTGCCATCAGTCCTGACATCAAATAGAAATAAGGTCTAACTGGGGACCAGCAGTTAGCGTAATGGCTATGTTACTGGACTCCCACGAAGTCAACTGCGGTTCATGTCTCAGACCCGGTGGCTTGGACTCATGCCGGGCGCGTGTGCGTGCCTGCCCAAGATCCCGAGAGTTGAATGGAGGAGAAGGGATTGTGGTGTGGCCATCCCCACTGGGGGATGATTTCTCGCTTTCTGTCTCTTTATCTCTCTCTGTCTTTCTGGCAAGCACACGCACCCTATAGCAAAAAACCTCTCCAAAAACAAAAACAAACAAACAAAAAAGAAATAAGGTCTAACAGAACAGCAGAGCACAGTGAATGAGAACCCTAGCTTTGGAGTCAGCAGGCTTGGTTTCTAGCTCCAGGCGTGCCACTTGCTAACTATTAACTACATGACCTTGGATAAGTCACCTCACCTCGCTGAGTTTCAGTTTCCTCATCTGTGAACTGGAGATAAAATGAATACCTGCTTCACTGGGCTGAGAGGATTAAGTGCAATAATATATGCAAAATAGCTTAAGGCAGTAACTGGCACAAAACAGGCACTTGATAAACATTTGCTGAACGCTCAACTGAAATGGTTGGCGAGGTTAGGATGTTAAAGAAGAGCTGCCTAACTCGAGTCGGGGCTCTTACCATTTATGAAATGCCCGTTCCCAAGCACGCTAAGCAGCCTCTACCAGACAACTGGGGTGAGAAGCATTCCTGAAATAGCTAGGTGATTCTCTTCGAAGCCCACTCTAATCCTCCAGCATCCTTGCCACTTACCTCTTTCTTGGATACATGCCAAAGGCCTTCAGAGAAAAATGGGGCAGAACTGGCCCTATTCTACAATCAGGGTGAGAGATGGCTGTCTTCAGAGCTCAGAGTGTCGAGCAGGAAGAGGACACAGAGAAGTGCTGCCTTATGAGAACACCGAGTCCCAGAGAGATGCAACTTTCTCAAGGCTGCACAGCCAGGTAGTAGCAAAGCCAGAACAGGAACTCCAGTCTCCTGACTGCCAGCCCCAGGCTCCCTGCCCCGCCTCCCCCATTACATGGGCTTTCCAAATCATCTGGGTACAGAATTAGTTCAGCACTAAGCTTTCAAAATCCCGCAGACCCTCCCACAGTTCTTCCTGAGGACAAAGTCACTCAGGGAGAAAAATGTATTAAGAAGTCTTTCGAAATATCAAAGGAGGGTGTTCCCTCAGCCAAGAGCTCTTAAGAGCACCAGGGATAAAATACTGATGTGATCAGTGGGTCATCTGGGCTCCACTTCTTGTGCAATTTTCATGTTCAGTGGTGGAAGTGTCCAGCTTGCGAACCCGATGCGCCCCGCTAAGTGCATTCCAAATGTCTCTACAGCGGCAGGCCTCCATCAGCACTTACCAGAGTTCTGGAGAAACAGGTTGCTCTGATCCCCAATTAAGTTTATGGGGAGGTGCCCCACCCACCCCGCTGGTGAATTTTGAGCAACAGCTCTGTTTTCACTGTCCTTCAAATTAGATCACTGGCCTAGTGGACAACGGACTTTGGAACCCCAGAATGTCAGAGCCTGGGCAGAGGCTCAAGCATGGGTTGATGAAATTCCTTACATCTCAGCAGAGGGAACTGAGACCCAGGCAGGGGAAAGGGCTTGTCCAAAGCCACGCTGGGAGCTCAAGGTGAGAGTTTTGGTCCTTTGGCCTGCAATCTCCTTTGACCCTAGAGCAGTAGCACAACAGCTTAGGTAACAGAGCATCTGACAAAGAGGTCAGAACTCCAGGGCAGCAAGGACAGAGAAGCCCCCTGGCGACAGACCTGCTGGGAGTGCTTGGCACCCTGGAGGCCCTGTCCCTGACTGCAGGAATCCTAGTGCATGCAGCCAGGTGCTTACATAACTTGAAATCACGCCTACTTTAGGTACACACTCGCCAAAAAGAGACGTGAGCCTTTCTCCCTTTTGCCCCTCCCAGCGTCTGAAGCTGGACTTCCTACACAGGAGATGTCGGCTAGAGAAGGAATATCTTCATTTGAATAAAAGTCAAGTAAGT